GTTTTTATTTTTCTGGGATAAGTACCGACTAGAGCAGCTGTTAGAGTTATGTCATTTCTTTCCTTCTTCTTCTTCTTTTTTTTTTTTTTTTCTTCTGTATTTTAGGGAAGGGCCTACAGGGTGTTCAGGATCTCACTACTCGGTCAGACTCATAGTGGCCATAGAGGCCTGTTTACAGCCTCCTCAGAGCTGAGATTACAGGTGAGCACCACCACACCCAGTCTCAATTGCCCTCTCAGTGCACCACCGGGGGTGGGGCCCACATGACAGGCCCAGGGATTGAACCCCTGGCCCCTGCACCTGCTTGCAGGTGCTTTAATTCACTGAGCTATTTGGCTAGCCCTTGTCATTTTTAAAGAGACAGCCAGACTATTTTCCAAAGTGGATGTACCATTTGACACTTCTACCAGCAATGTACCTTCTCTCCATTCTCAACAAAATTTGGTGATTTGGCTCCTTTTTAAAAGAACTGTAGACATTTATTAGCGGGAAGTGCTATTGTGGTGCTAATTTGCACAATGGCTAATGACGTTAAATATCTTTTCATCTGGTTATTTACTCTCTGTACAGATATTGAACTATTGACTATTAAACACTCTAAAACCATTTATAAGATTATATATCATCTTCAGTGAAATCTCTTTTGCCTGGTGTATAGCTGGACTTTTACAAATGATCTATTTTTAAAATTTATGTATTTATTTATTTATTATTTATTTACATGGTCTCACCGTGCAGCTCAGACTCACAGTGATCCTCCTGTCTCAGCTTCCCCGGTGCTGGGATGACAGGCGTGCTCCACTACACCTGGCTTCAGGCCTGTACTGTGCACCCGGGGTTCCAGGGCCAGCACAGCATGTAGTACCGGAGCTCGAACTCAGGTCCTTGAGCTTGCCAGACAGACTCTTAGATCACTGAGCTATCTTCCCAGTCCAGTAGCTGGATTTTTTAAACTGTTGAGTTTTGAGAATTCTTTATATACATTAAATCTTATCTTCTCATTCATTTAATAGGATCTGCCTTCTACATAGCACACACTTTGAATTTTGATGAAATCTAATTTATTAGCTTTTTAAAAAAATTTTTTTAGCTTTTGTTTTTAGTTCATGTCTAATTGGGATTAATTGTTTTTTAAGCATTGACTGTAATTTTCTAGTAAAGCCATCTAGCCTAAATATTTAATTTGGGGGAGTTTAAAATCATAAATTCAATTTTCTTCGTAGCTATTATCTATTAAAACTATTTTTATAAAATTATTGGGTACATTGTAATTGTTTTTCAAAGAATTTTTTCATCTAAGTTGTTACTATTTTCCTTTTTTTTTAATCTGCAAAGTCTATAATGTCATTTTTGTTTTACTTATGATGTTAATTTATCATTTTTAACATAGTAACCATTTGTTCCTTCTCTTTTTCTTTTTTATTCTACCTATAGAATTCATTGACATCAGGTCTTTAGCTTACTGATTTTTCCCTATTGTTTTTCCTTCTTTCATTTTCATAGATTTATGCATTTTTTCTTTTTTTAAATTATACAACCATTTATTTTTTTATATAAAGTTTCTTTTCACAGACTATATTTTATCATTAACAATTCCTGTAATGAGAAAGTAATTTATTACGTACAGTTTTACATCTGTGGACAGATCATTTTATTTTATTTTATTATTATTATTTTTTTTTTTGGCGGGACTGGGACTTGAACTCAGGCCCTTGTGCTTGCCAGGGAAGCGCTTATTCCACTGAGCCATCTCCCCAGCCCCTGGACAGATCATTTTAGAACAAGTAAGACACACTGGAGAATCAACTCTGTTTGGAGTCAGTAGTGCTCTGGTTCAACCTGTCAGAAGATCTCCTTCCTAAATGGTCTCTAAATTCAGAAGCTCTCCAGGCTTTCCTGACTAGACTCGGAAATCTGTAATGTGACATAGTAGGATTTCCTAACTTCAAAGTTTCACTAGGACACAAAATAATTATTATTTGGCACCAACTGAACAGTTAGAGACATCTCCAAAAATTAGTCTTTCCCTTTGTCTATTATTCCCAGGAAAAGTATGCTCATGGATTTTTCCACTTTTCCACTCAGGAAAAGTGCAAAAGTATGGTGATGTAATAAAGCTGAATTCTCTTTAAAAGACTGATGAATCAAAAGGCAAAAGCTCATATGTAGTGTTTAATTATACCCTGAGTCTTGAGAGCTGGGGGACAATCCCATTAACTCCAAACTACAGAACTCTATCTCACTATTTCTTGGATGCGATTCCTCACAAACCTTTTCCTCAATGTTAAATTCTAAAAATGGCCATCTGGTAAGGACCAATGAACTTACGGGTTTTTTTGCTCACTGTGAGCAGAATAGCATGACAGAGCAGAGGCGAGGAGGCTTCCACTCAACCCTTAAGGTACTTCATCCAAAAGATGAGCTCCCAAAGCGCGGTCCAGCTTTGCATGTGCCCTCCTCATGACAGTTGAAGTGACAAAGCCCAGCAAAGGTCAAAGCTGAGAGTGCCAGAAGGCCTGCCTTGGCAGCTTTCTGGAATGCAGCTCCATGAACATAGTCCATCACAACTTATCCCTGGCCCCAGTGACTGTGGAGAGTGAGGGCTGCAGCCAGGGAGTAGGCCACTGGGAGCAGGCCACTGGGAGCAGGGTTCAAATATGTGGCAGGAAGCCAGCCCAGGAGCAGGACATGGGCTATACTCACTAGTCCAGTGGAAAGAGGCAGCCTCGGTACCAGAAGGCAGTTTGGCAACAGGTGAATGTGCTGGGCTACACAGCACCCTCAGGGAGGTGGTCGGGCGAAATGCTGAGCCACCAGACTTGACCGCGGAATTCCGAGGAAACAGCTCTGGGGATCCCTGGGCACCGCAGAGGATACCCAGCCTCATGATAGTCACCATTGTGCCTTTTAAGCCTCAGGCTATGGTTTTTCTCTTTATTATTTCCTTATGTCTTCTTGTTTTCTTCTGCCTTTGTTTTTTCTTTCTTTTTTTTTTTTGGACTGGTAATCAAACTCAGGATCTTGTGCCACTGAGCTATATGCTGGCCCTGTTCCTAGGTTTTTGAGGTAAGAAATTTTAGACTGTGTCTTAATAATGTATGAGTTTAATCTTCAAATGTCTTGACACTGCTTTAGGTATGCCCTAATTTTTTTAGTATGCCATGTCTCCATTTTCATTCAATGTATTTTTGTTTCCTTTTACACTTCCTTATTGACTTCTTGTTTACTTAGAAGAATACTTAAATAGGTGAATTAAGTATTCACCAATTTAAATATGGTGAATATTTAATCTCCAAGCTTTCCTGACTAGACTCAGAAATCTGTAATGTGACGAGTATAGGCCTGTGACCCCAGCACTTCGGAGGCTGAGACAGGAGGTTCACTTGAGTCTAAGGCCATTTCGGGCTACATAGTGATTTCCTTTTTCTCTTCTTTTCTTTC